GGCCTTGCTGCCACCCCTCTTCCGAGAGGGCTTTTGTTTTCTCCAGCCTCACACCCTCCACACTTTTTCATCTCCGCTAATTTGCCTTTCTCACCCTTTAAGAAAAAAAAAAAAAAAAACCCCAAACCCTAAAAACAAGCCCACCTAGACTTCCAGCATAAGCTTCCCAGCCCTGCTACCGACACCGGGACGCTGTCCCATGGCGTGGGTGTCCTGGTCTGCGGCTGCACCAAGCCAGGAGGAAGGAGGCGGCAGCCCCGCGCGCGTGGAATCGCCTTCGCGTGGGAAAACACAGATTTTAACCTTAAGAAACCACCTTCATACAGCAACGAGGAAGTCCGCCTCCCCCTGGCTTTAACTCACCCATGAAGCCAAGCCATGGCACCGTCTCCTGCCTCCCCCTCGCTTTCCCCAGGGGGGGGGATCTCGTGGACAGCAGCGTTTTTTCACACCCCCTGACAAGAGGTGATGACACAAGGTCCGGATCTATTCCTTGCTGTTAAAACTACCAAATAGGCGACACCAATGGGAACTTCACTTCGGAGATTGTCTTTCTGCGGACAGTAATAAAGACTTCTCGTTAAGGCAGAGCAATTAATGTGGACTGCAGCATAGACAACAGGCAGGGAGAAAGAACACAAACCCCACAGTTTTTAAAGAATATCCTGCATTCAGTGCGCTTAGGCTAAAAAGAAAGAAGCAACTTGTTTCGGCTGAAGTCTCACGCAAAAACTGCAAAAGCAGAGCTGTAAAGGCAACTGATTTCTGGAGACTGCTTTTTCCACCCCTGCCCCAGGTCACGCAGCACGTTGCAACTAATTTAACGGAGGCTTTAATCCGTTTTACAAATCTCAAAGCTGAACGTTTGAATTTCTGTTTGCCAGCGCTAGTGAGAGTAAAGCAATGTCCAGACTGGTGCTGATAGAATATTACGAAAGCCAAGTGGGGAAGCCTTGACAAAATTTAAGGCAGCAGCAGATGCATTTCCATGCGAGCTATTCAATATTTTTTCCTTGGCCTGTGTAAACAGAAGTTTCAGGTCGTGATGGAGAAAGCACTGCCCGCCTCTCTGCCACTGTGCTTGGCCCAAGCTTCCAAAGGCAAGCCCGGCTTACTCTGGATGCTCATCACCCACCAAGGATTATGTTTTCCAGGCACAGACAGAGAACAGAGCAGCTCATACCTCTCCTTAGAGCTTCCTGCACACTACCTATGTGCTTTTTAAACCCGAATCTTTTACGTGCAAGTGCCCATGGGACCGACTGCCCCTTGAATTCCCGGGCTCCAAGCGAGCGGACGGGAGGGACGTGGGCGAGCGATTCAGGCGAGGCATAGTTATTGCCTGAGCATCAAAGTCCTGACCTGCGTTAGGTGCTGCTGAGGCAGACCCCACCACCGCTCCTTCCCGAGCAGGGCAGCGGGCGCTTGCTGAGCAGGAGCCTGGCGAGGAGGAGTGCCATCCCATGGCTGAAGCACGGCGCTTGGCAGCATCAGCGCCTTCTCCAGAAACACTACTGGGAGAAGGAAAAAAAATCCCAGCGTTAGACCTTGCTCCACTTCTCACTTTTTTTCCTGACCACCACCTGCAGTCCTTCCCCCGTTCTGCACGCATCCATTTTCATAGGGATCTTCAAAACCTATTTACCACCAGGGATTTCCCTTCAGCACGGGACATCCCTCTAAGAAGTATTTCTTTGAGCACTGTTACAGTGTCCCCCCTCCCGTGGCGTTAATCATCACGGCCTTCCCGTGATGGCTCATGCTTAAAACCATGCAGGAAAGAACTATTTATGGCTTTGTCCAATCTCTGAACTAACCAACTGAACCTAATGCCGTGTTTAATCTTCATTAGAACGGGCTGGCGTGGCGGTCCGGGGAGCCGTGCTGTGCCATCTGCTGGCTGCCTGCGCTGGGCGTGCCGATGCGCTGCCTTCCCTCTCGCCTTCATCCCAACGTTTCTGGGGAGCGCATCCGTAACAGCGCGCTCATTTGTTATTTCCCTCCCTTATTGCTCAGATGGAAGTTGCCAGAATTTTGCTTGCCAGCTGCCTAAAGCTTTTCCAGGGAACACAAAGCCGCCTTGGATACTTCAAGCTTGCCTGCAGACCTACGAAAAACCGTCAGCCCTTCATTGTTGCACCGAGCACTTAAGGCTCGTGAGCAGGGGCTGCAGTAATGAGATCAGTTAGCATCCCCGCTGGATATTTTCTGCCTCCCGCGTGATGCCTGTTACACAACACCAGTCCTCCCCAGGAAAAGCACCTAAGCTGCTTTTTTTCCCCCAGCACGTTCCCTTTACTGACCTCTTCGCAAAGCCTCAGGAGCGTAGCTCAGCAATTATCAGTGGCGGCCTCCATCGTGATCCCAGCATGGAGTTAAAAGGTGTCTTTTTGGGCAGAGCTCTAGTTCCCTCCTTGGTAAGGCTGGGACCCACTAAAAGCCACGCATTTCTCGCTGGGACGAGCAAGCCCCGTTAGTTGCTGGCAGTAAGGGAGGATGAGTAAGCACAGGTGTAAGACATGGTTATCCCCACAGAGAATGGCTCACGCATCTCACCTGAGGCCATCAGGTTACAGAGAGCATTGCCCAAACGAGAAGACACTTTCAGTCACCTCCTCAAGCACACCTCACTTCTGCCTCCGTGAGCCTCTCACAGAACGAGGCCCAGGGTTCGGCACGCGCCTCAGCCCGAGGAGCTGAGCTAGCCCCAGCTTCCCCGGAAAAGCAGGGCTCCAGATTGCCATTTTCATCTCAAAACAGTTGCTGCCAGGAAACCTCATGCTTCAACGCTCTCCAGCTTTTGACCTCGTGCTGCGTGCAAAGGACTACATTCATTTCCATGTCCCAGGAGGTTCTTTCGATCTTAACATCCATCCTCCCCTTTGCAAGGATTTCGCCATGGAAAAAGCCTACATGGGTTCACCCCCAGCCACTTCAGGGCGTGAGGATTCCACCCTTACTCCTGCGTGTACCTCCAAGCTTTCCTCTTCCCGTACAGACACCCGCTACCGGCACAGGCAGCCAGCCCCAACACTGACCTCAAACACCGAGTTTTTCTTCCCTTCTGCCATCAACACTCCTCCGGCCCTTGCAGTAGTTTCCATTACCCCTTGCCGTGCAAAGTGCTACGCCTCTGCAGGGAGCAAAGATCTCCTAAGCAATTCCATGGAGGAAATCAATTCCCAAGGCTTTGTAGACAGTTTCCGGGTTTTTTTTATTATTATTATTATTTACAATGCAGCATTTAACTGCTGTTTGGCCTGTCAGCAGCAGGGGGCAAACAAACACAGGGCCATTAAGTCAGCAGAACTTGCCATTTCACTATTTCATCCTATACATCCACCACACCAGAATCCTGTCTGACATCACCATGCAGAGCTCCATGTCCCATGGATCCAGGACATACAAGGGCTACTAAAAGTCTCCATCTGTTCCCATCTGCCCAGCTTAAGTTTATTGTTTTTCTACCTCTCCCTTTAACAATCAGCTTGGAAAATTAACAAATTATTCTCCAGCCAGCAGTTAACAGCATGTTCCTGGCAGGAACAGGCCTAGGGCGTAAAGGATTACATCAAAGCCTATGGAACCACGTTTCACTCGCAGAAAACCATCACCTGCATGTTTGAATTGCAGCGTCCGGCCTGTCGCAGGTTTGAGAGCACACACTCCTATTTTGGCTTCCCCCACGACAGTCACACAAAGAAAACCCCAAAACCAAACAAAAAATCCCCCAAACCAACTACCTAGACGCACTAGTGCTCCCGTAACACGGAACGGCATTTATTGATCATTCCCCGTAACCGATTTCACACAGGAAACAGGCAGCAGCACCCTTCAGACACCACCGGTATACAAGTCGAGGCACGGGCTCCCCAAAACTTGTCCCAGACGCAAGTGCGGGTCTTACCTGAGACAGCGGTTGTTAAACTTTTTGGAAAAATTAATCAGTTAATCCTCCTTTACAGCCTGAACTGGAACTGGCCACTCACAGTCAGCTCCCAGCAAGAACTTCAGTGCGGGGTTAAACGTGTTTTCCCACCAGAAGGCATGGAAGTAATTGAAACATTTTTGAAGTTTACCTTCAAACTGAAGACGATGCTACGTCTTACCCATTTGTCCTCTATCAAGGCTACATTAGACCTATAACAGCAGACCAACAGTTAACATTTATCATAGATGAAGTGAATGTATTTATCACAGGTATAAAGAACTACGAAATCCAGAAAAGTCCTTGCTTTGCTTCAAACTGAGGTCAGGAGGGGAAACTGTCTCAGGCCATGTGGGATTTAAGTAACAGCTTTCTGCTCAGCTACAAAATTAAAAACATTTAAGGGAGCCTAGAGTAGTTTTTAAATGTATGAGCACAAGGAGTTAATCAGAACAAGGGTTAGAGAAAACACCGTGACCCCACATCTCTCGTTCTGCAGCTCAGCGAGAAAAAGGATGGACCAGCACAAGACAGTAGAAAGGGGGAGGAGGCAGAGAGCGCGGCACAAATCCCAGCCTCACCCGCCCTCGGGAGGTCCCGCCATCCCACCCCGTCTCCCCATCAGTCCCGCACGGCCCGTTTCGTCCCCTTCGCTTGACACACCCCTGGCAGCCTCCCAAAACCAGTATTTATGGTACGGAAAGATGACGGCGTCGCAATAGAGGAAAGCACCTTAACACTCAGGCTGCCTGAGGAAAGGACCCCGGGCTACTTCTAGAGGTGGCACCTTTTGAAAAGCATCCTCTGGGAAAAAAAACCAAATACTACCCCACCCCCAGTTTTCTTAAGAATAAAAAAAACCAGAACATCCTTTATAAAATTTTTATTGGATTCGGTAGCGCTGCTTGCAGCTCTCAGCAACAGAGAATAAAAAGCCTCATTGAAGCTTCCTGCTTTTCTTAACTCCCGCGCGAATGCCAGACAGTTCCCCGGCGTATCTGTGCAATTCCCTCCGAACCTCACGGACCTGGCCCTTGCGGCGAATCTTGGCTCGCCGAAACTTCTCCCGATGCTTGACCCTGGGGTTGCGATCGATCTTCTTCCTCCGGGGCGTGAGGCCTTTGTTCTTGATCATCTGATAGGTCACACCTCTCTTTTTATTTGGATCCTCTCCTTCCAACACCGCTTCTTCTTCGAGCGTGTCTTCGTCTTCCGTTCTCTTCCTCTTGAGTTTCAACTTCTCCTCCATCATCTTGTAGTATTTTAGGGCAGCCTCTTCATCCCCCCCGCCTCCCCCCACGGTCCAGCAGCAGCAGCCCGGCCGTTGGCAAGCGCAGCAGCACGTTTTGCTTTGTTTTTCTTAACATCCAGTGGGAGAAACACCGCAAACTTCTTCTCCTTCCGTAATTTATCTTCCTTCTTATCATAGTAGTTTTTCAAAAGCATACGAACTTGCGAGGATAACTTTTGGTCTATAACAGCTAGGTCATTGATTATATTTCTGTAAGCAACCAGCCGTTCGATAATGGGGTGACTATGAACCGGCATCCTCTTGGACTTCAAAACCAAATAGAAGCTGATGTTGGCGCAGTAATTCAAGTAGAGGTGATACTTGGTCTGCAAGTAGCGGCTGCCTTTCCCTTGCGGGATAGTGCCGTTTTTCACCATTTGCAGCAGCGGGTGCAGCTCGTCCTTCAGCTCCATGAGCTTGACTTCAAAGTCCTCAATCAGCTGCAGGAGCTCAGGGGACTCCTGCCTCAGCAGCTTCAGCTGCTCCTTCTTGGAAAGGGCCTGCAAATCTTTGTCAATCTTCTGCCCCTTGCTATCGTGGGTTTTCTGCCGCTCAGCCAGGTAGCCCTGGATCACATCCAGCCCGTAATCATCCTCCCCTAAGTCCTGCACCAACCGCCTCTGGATGACCTGAGCCTCCTGCTCCTCTTCCTCCTCCTCAGCATCGACTTCTTGCTGGCCACGCTTGCCCTTGGCCTGGGCATCGCTCCCGTAGTCCGTGTCGTAGTAGAGCTGCTTGCGCTGGCCCCAGGAGAGCTCGTGGGGGAGCTTGGTGTCCTGACGGCGATCCTCCAAGTCGCTTTCCATGGACAGGTCCCCATCTTCATCTTCAACCTCATCTTCCTCCTCCTCTTCACCTTCTCCATCCTCATCCTCCTCACCTTCTCCATCCTCTTCTGCGCTGTGGTCCATGTAAAGATCCAGCTCCCGCACCTCCTCTTCTTCTTCCTCCTCACCGGGTCCATCCTCCTCTTCGTCGTCCTCCTCCTCGCTGTCCTCTTCGGGCAGCTGCAGCGCCAGCACCTCTTCCTCCTCCTCCTCCTCGCTGTCCCCGGCCTCTTCCCCGCTCTCCAGTGCCGCCATCACCGCCTGGAACTCCGCCTCGTGGAAGTCCTCCACCTCCTCCGCCAGGCCCTTGGAGCCCGCCTGGCCTCCGGGAACCTCCTCTTCGCCATCCTCCTCCTCCTCCT